ACACACACACACACACACACACACACACACGACGCGTGCCACAATACAAATGCGCAAATCCCTACATCAAACAATTGTTAGTTTTCTTCCGAGTATCAACGCGGCATGACCCGTTATCGCCCACTCATGCGAAAAGGCAAAGCTTTCAATAGTTGCAACCTCTCCCCTGTCTTTGCCTTGCTTTGCTAAGTTTGCTATGACACTTGGCACAGAGCCGTGCCAGCCACAACAGTTCACAACAACATTGGGTGGGCGCGACAGCTGACTCAGCGACGAGTCTTTACACGAATACGTCACCGCCATTTTGAAACTGCCTTGGCGACTGTAAACATTAGAAATCGAAAGGAGAGACACGGGAATTCAAGCGCCGACTCTGATTACAAAAGAATGTGACAAGAAGAATATAAAACAAACTGATGTATAGACTGTGTGCCATTGTTTTATTTCAAATAAGAAGAACACTATAATTACCTAACAAAGAATCAAAAACAGCGGTTTTGCCGAGATCCTTTTACGCGATTCTTCAAACGATCCTTTCGAGCATGTAACTATCTTTAACTTATGTACGCAGGTCAAATCAATACCTCTTTGTACACAGTTCGATCTAGACAGCTGTGAGATCTATATAAGAAGAAATTCTACCATTCTTTGTAGTAAAACGTGACTAGAACTTTGCTAAGATTTGTCATACCAAAAAGACAACAATCTGATCAAAGAGGTTCATGCACATTTAAACCAAAGAAGGCATTACTGTATACGATTTACAGTAAGTAACTAAGTGCCTAATTTCTTTTTGAAATTTTTGATTGATTTATTTTGCCTTGTTTTTATTTTATATTTATTTATTTATTTGCCTCGTTTTTATCTAAGTTTTATATTTATTCATCTATTTCTTTGTCTTTTCATTTCACCTTGTTTTATTTATATATTTATTTATTTGTTTATTTATTTATTTATTTATTCATTTATTTACTTATGTGGGTCTATTTATTTATTTATTCATTCATCCTTTTTAAAAGTAAATCTTTTTTTAAATTTCTATTTGAACAATTTAAGCCTGTGTGTTCCTGTGTAGGCTACACATGTAGT